AACGCCAGTACTTATTCAAAACACAAACCACAAAATATGTTTTGAAATGCCAGTTCGATGTTGCATGCGATTAGGGTAAGTGAGATATAAGGAAATAATTCTTTTTTTTTTGGCTAGGGTATCTGCTTTGGGAAACTGCCCGGTCATTCGTCCCAAAAACAATTGGCTTTTGCTCCATTCTATCAAGAAGTATTTGTATGATTTTGAATCAGGTAAAAATCAATCTATCTCCCACCCTCATACACTGTCCACCTTAGTAAACCTCATCTAATGTTAGCCGCTGTGGAAGTTAAATGATGGATAAAGTGTTCCTATCAAACTATGTCATTATAAAGGAAACACTAGGATTGGGACAGTTCGTAAATTTAAGTTACAGACTAGACACCCCAATTCAAAGAAACAATCTCCAAATCTCTTACTCCTTTTGGGATGATCCTCTTGTTATTAATTAAAACACACACACACACCACCCAACTCCCATCTCCGCCATCACCCCCCACCACCCATCTCCCATCTCCAGACTTTTAGAATATCTCAATTGATAGAGGGGTTACTGATTGTTAAAGTTATCCTCCAGACGTTTAGAATAGAACACACACACAAAAAAAAAACGTATTCAGAAAGCTTGAAATTTGAAATATGCAAAAATCTTCGAGCTGGAACAATAGTCACAGAATAACAATTTTCTGTATGAATTTAGGCACGAAATTATTAGACTATAACATGCGAAGATTAGTGATTATACCTGATGCTGCAAGAGCAATACCCTCGACGAGAATAACCCCTCCGAGCCCTAACCAAGCAAGAAGAAAAGCACTCTCATTCCTACTCTGTTCCTTAATCTGAGCCTCTTCTTTTTGTGAGAGAAAGGTGGGTTTTTGTGCCGGTACTCGGCGAATCACCGATGCCCTCTCTCTCTTGCTCTGTTTCTTCTTCGTATTCACTGAATCGGCGTCCAAATTAGCAGAAGATGAAGAGCCAAACCCTAGGCCAGCTGAATCGAGTTTCTTGGGTGATGTCGAAGAGGTCTCATCAATTCCTTGGGTAGAAATTGTGGGTTTTGGAGGTTCCGTTGAAGGGTTTTGGGATTTGATGGAGAGGAGAGAGAATTTGGTGGGTAGAAGAAGANTCCTTGGGTAGAAATTGTGGGTTTTGGAGGTTCCGTTGAAGGGTTTTGGGATTTGATGGAGAGGAGAGAGAATTTGGTGGGTAGAAGAAGACGGTGTTTCTTGGTGATGGCAAAACTAGAGGTGGAGGATGAGTGAAGTATTAGCGCCATTTTCAGTTTAGTTTTTTTTTCTATCTGCTTCCACCCTTTTTCTTACAGAGTGGATTTTTGGGAATTTTTTTTTGCTTTTCCTGACAATTGGATATAATTAATGAGACGACGTCGTGTCCATCTCGTTGACCAGTCAACATATCTTTGGTTTTTTTTGGGTCCCAGTAGTATATACCGTAAAAGGGGTTATTCAGTGATTTTATCGTACAATCGGTGTCATAATGGTGCTACAAGACGACAATTTATTATATAGATCCATGGAACTATTGATTGGGCCATAAATACAAACTAANAAGGGGTTATTCAGTGATGTTATCGGACAATCGGTGTCATAATGGTGCTACAAGACGACAATTCATTATATAGATCCATGGAACTATTGATTGGACCATAAATTCGACCGCTATCTAAGAGAAGATAAATAGATCTTCTATCGAACAAAGGAATAACATGTACCTACTTGCATAAATCTCAAATTTCTCGGTATCTCAAAGTAACAAAGAGTTTTTTTCTTTTTTTAGTAGCTCCGTGACTCGAACTTTACATTCGTTGGAGGGTATTTTTTATTTTTTTGGGAGACTCGAACCTCACATCTGTGGCAGCGTGGTGCATTTCTCTCCAGGCCCAACAGTTCAATCTTTTTCATAAAAAAAATAAGAACACATGACCGAAAAAACCGAACCTAATCATCGACAACCAAGCTTAATAATCAATTCTCACCGAATATAAAACTNTTTTTCATAAAAAAAAATAAGAACACATGACCGAAAAACTGAACCTAATCATCGACAACCAAGCTTAATAATCAATTCTCACCGAATATAAAACTCGGTTCGATTAACACTCTTAATAATCAGCCGGCAGCCATCACAGTTCTACTTATAAATCTCAGCTTTCCCAGTTTCCGGTAAGCAAGAACTATGCCTGCTCAAATGTGTCATACAATGCACTGTCTACTGTAAAATAGAAAGACCCAACTCAAAATATGAGGCCTATGCTGAACTCACTAAATTAGGTAAATGTGAAAGCATAAATCCCTAGATGACATATAACCACAGCAACCCTCACATGCTCCTACAACAAAAAGGGCCAAGCATGCTCAGCAGCAACATCTTGATAGTCGATTTGCCATCANGATGACATATAACCACAGCAACCCTCACATGCTCCTACAACAAAAAGGGCCAAGCATGCTCAGCAGCAACATCTTGATAGTCGATTTGCCATCAACGTTCATATACTTTCTCGAATACTCAGTGTGTGAGTGAAGCAAGAAAATTTGACCCACCTCGTTGAATTCACCGCCACAGCACCTCTCACACTCCATCTGTGATGGTTCATTTCAACCAGCAGCAGCTGCTACTTGTTCTCTTTGTGTTGTGATTAGTTATAGTGGGAACTGTTCTCACCAACCTTTCGTGAGCTCCATTTCATCAAATAGGCTAGCAGTGTCTGGAATTATACCCCCGTGTTGATATTTTAGAATCCCATCCCCTGTGAGATCGTTCAATATATCAGCTGGGTCTTTGGCTCCTCCGTGTTGCAAGAATTTCGTTCTAATAGCAGATCCTGTGGCTAATGATAGTGGATCCTCCTGGCATATCTTTTGCCATATGGTTGCTGCAAAGCACTTGGCATACAAGTAACTATAGTAACCTGCACACATCAAGCACACCATATCTACCTACTAAATCATCCAAATACATTATTGGCTAGAAAATCAAAGATCACTCTCCACTAACTTATACATACACACATCCATACACACGGGTTCATCATAACTCACGCTCAGATTATGTGGAATCTCCCAGGTTGAACATGCGAAAACGTGTCACATTANCTCTCTTGCTCTGTTTCTTCTTCGTATTCACTGAATCGGCGTCCAAATTAGCAGAAGATGAAGAGCCAAACCCTAGGCCAGCTGAATCGAGTTTCTTGGGTGATGTCGAAGAGGTCTCATCAATTCCTTGGGTAGAAATTGTGGGTTTTGGAGGTTCCGTTGAAGGGTTTTGGGATTTGATGGAGAGGAGAGAGAATTTGGTGGGTAGAAGAAGATGGTGTTTCTTGGTGATGGCAAAACTAGAGGTGGAGGATGAGTGAAGTATTAGCGCCATTTTCAGTTTAGTTTTTTTTCTATCGGCTTCCACCCTTTTTCTTACAGAGTGGATTTTTGGGAATTTTTTTTTGCTGTTCCTGACAATTGGATATAATTAATGAGACGACGTCGTGTCCATCTCGTTGACCCGTCAACATATCTTTGGTTTTTTTTGGGTCCCAGTAGTATATACAGTAAAAGGGGTTATTCAGTGATGTTATCGGACAATCGGTGTCATAATGGTGCTACAAGACGACAATTCATTATATAGATCCATGGAACTATTGATTGGACCATAAATNGTTATCGGACAATCGGTGTCATAATGGTGCTACAAGACGACAATTCATTATATAGATCCATGGAACTATTGATTGGACCATAAATTCGACCGCTATCTAAGAGAAGATAAATAGATCTTCTATCGAACAAAGGAATAACATGTACCTACTTGCATAAATCTCAAATTTCTCGGTACGGTCAAACCAACTATTCTCTTTTCAAAGTAACAAAGAGTTTTTTTTCTTTTTTTAGTAGCTCCGTGACTCGAACTTTACATTCGTTGGAGGGTATTTTTTATTTTTTTGGGAGACTCGAACCTCACATCTGTGGCAGCGTGGTGCATTTCTCTCCAGGCCCAACAGTTCAATCTTTTTCATAAAAAAAATAAGAACACATGACCGAAAAAACCGAACCTAATCATCGACAACCAAGCTTAATAATCAATTCTCACCGAATATAAAACTCGGTTCGATTAACACTCTTAATAATCAGCCGGCAGCCATCACAGTTCTACTTATAAATCTCAGCTTTCCCAGTTTCCGGTAAGCAAGAACTATGCCTGCTCAAATGTGTCATACAATGCACTGTCTACTGTAAAATAGAAAGACCCAACTCAAAATATGAGGCCTATGCTGAACTCACCAAATTAGGTAAATGTGAAAGCATAAATCCCTAGATGACATATAACCACAGCAACCCTCACATGCTCCTACAACAAAAAGGGCCAAGCATGCTCAGCAGCAACATCTTGATAGTCGATTTGCCATCAACGTTCATATACTTTCTCGAATACTCAGTGTGTGAGTGAAGCAAGAAAATTTGACCCACCTCGTTGAATTCACCGCCACAGCACCTCTCACACTCCATCTGTGATGGTTCATTTCAACCAGCAGCAGCTGCTACTTGTTCTCTTTGTGTTGTGATTAGTTATAGTGGGAACTGTTCTCACCAACCTTTCGTGAGCTCCATTTCATCAAATAGGCTAGCAGTGTCTGGAATTATACCCCCGTGTTGATATTTTAGAATCCCATCCCCTGTGAGATCGTTCAATATATCAGCTGGGTCTTTGGCTCCTCCGTGTTGCAAGAATTTCGTTCTAATAGCAGATCCTGTGGCTAATGATAGTGGATCCTCCTGGCATATCTTTTGCCATATGGTTGCTGCAAAGCACTTGGCATACAAGTAACTATAGTAACCTGCACACATCAAGCACACCATATCTACCTACTAAATCATCCAAATACATTATTGGCTAGAAAATCAAAGAT